TTCGATGTTGCTCTGACCACAAGACGAGTGAGCAGTCTCACAACGTGAGATGCTAACAAGGCATTTAGCCAAGATTCCTAAGTTTCCCAGCCTTCTTGACCCAGCTGAGGCTCTGTGGAGCTCTACACCCAGCAGAAAAAAATATAATCCCAGGTTGTCATTCAGGAAAAGTTGATTTCAATTATGGAAGAGAAATCTCTCTACCCTGTTGTTCAGTCGCTGAGTCATGTCCGACTCTTTGTGAGACCCTGGACTGCAACACACCAGGCTTCCCTGTCCTTCACCATCTCCCAGAGTTCGCCCAAACCCGTGTGCACTGAGTCGGTGATACCATCCAACCATTTCATCCTCTGCTGCCCTCTTCTCCTCCTGCCCTCAGTCTTTCCCAGCATCGGGGTCTTATCTTCACATTGGGTGGCCAAGGTATTGGAGCTTCAGCATCAAGTCCTTCTAATGAATATTCAGGGTTGATTTCCTTTAGGATTGACTGGTTTGATTTCGTTGCTTTCTAAGGGACTCTCAAGAGTCTTCTCCAGCACCACAATTAAAAACAATCAATTCTTTGGTGCTCAGCCTTCTTTATACCCTGATAAGCTGATAAAATACCATTTTTAGCTGTGATGGATTATCACACAATGTCAGTGTCCCAGAACATGCCAAACCCTGTCCTCATTATTTCCGGTACACTCAGGGATCTTACTCATCCACAGCCAATTCCTGCATTGACGTCGCTTTGCCGGGCGTTAGGAACATTCAGCCACACAATGATTTTCTCCACATAATTCAAATGTTTTTTAATGCCACGCCTTCTGACATCTTTCCTATCATATCGGGTATCACAGGGTGCGGAGAAGCCATGAGTCAGCCGTCCATAGCAGAGCCCCACGGAATTCACACTGGAAGAAAGGTCAGCCACTCTTCAGGCCTTGGAGTGCTGTGGCAGAGACTCACTTAAACATACCCCGGGGCTGCCACGCCCTGACGATCACCTCGCACTTGGTCCGGAACTGAACTTCCGTGGGGAACACACGGCCCGGCTGGAGGAGGCATCTGGCCAAGAGCGGGAAGTGGCGACACAGGGCCTTCAGACTCTGCCCGAGCCGCTGTCAGAGCGTGAGGAAGACCGCGGACCCCACGCCCCGACACTGACAGCTGTGACGTCAGCACGCCACGGCCGTGCGTGCGTGGGATGCGCCCGAGCGGCCTGCGTGCTGACGCCAGAGGCCAGTGTGCACACAGCAGCAATGCCAGTTGGAATGTGGTTCCGCCCTCTCAAGGCTGTCGGTCCAAATAGAGAGAGAGTGTCTTGTTTGTGGTGTGCATAAAGTAGCTACGGCAACTGCGGGCCCGGGCGACACCTGTTCCCGACTGCCAGGCCCAGCACGGAGTGTTGGCATGGGGAGACAGCAAGGTCTGGAGTGACCAGCACGGCCTGAAAATGAGAGGTTTTGGAATACTTGCCCCCTGGAATGAGAACTCTTTGTTTTGAAAACGTGACCTCTAACCACGGAAAGCTCGATAAATTCGATCCAGTTTAACTCAGTAAATGACTACATGCACGGTTCCATGTTAAATACAGTACAGAAAAATCCTGGCTGCCGCCAAAACCCAGTGATCAGAGCATATTTTCCCTAATGTCCCTATAGGATAGTCTGTAAGTTTCCATTTCCAATCGGAGAGTATTAATTGCCTATTAAGAAATCTGGGGGTGGAAATAGTACACAACTGAAAGACTTGTAAGATTTGTCTCTCAATAACACTCAGGCTTATGGATGATTTATTAAAGCGCCATAATTGCTTTAAAAGATGTGTCTCATAGTGGAAATTGCTACTAGACAGTAAGTTTCAGGTATTCCTGAGACCATCACTTTTACTGTCCAAACTGATAAAAAAAAAAAAAGTAATTTAAAAACTCTTATCCAATGGAATACCTTGTTGTGTTCTTAGGAAATAAACGGCCATACACAAACAGTAAATAATTGGTCTGTGAAAGAAATTAAAAGTCAGATTTGAAGTTTTCTTATAACTGTCTAGTTGAGTGGCTTTCAGGACCGTACCCCTGGAACACACTGACTCCTCCCTTTTGCATGAAGGCCTGAGCCAAGAGGACCTCAGCCCCATATCCAATGCAGCCAGAGACCCACTGAAGAGGGAAACCCACTGAATGGGTTTGAATCAGATGCTTCACCTTTCTTCAGAGTCCTTAGCCAAATTAATTCTTTAGATACACAATTTTCTCAAACAAATTATAAAATGGAAAAAAAAATGACCAACAATTTTTTCAAGAGCACTGCATACACACAAACACACAATTCTCTAATAAGACAAAACTCAGGATCACAGTATCTCTGAGTTTAAAACAATCATGTTGCCCATAATGTAAGTACTGGACTATTGCTAGTACATATTCCCTTTATGGAGAAAGGTTTAAAAAGATGGAAAAGCAAAGAAGAAGAAAGAAAAGTTTTAGTAGAAAGAAAGGTTTTACATTTTAGTAGAGAGAGATTATTTCTGGGAAGATCATGGGGAAATACACACCATAACTAGACCTTTGAATGAAGTGAGACTAGAGTGTGATATGTGTGAGAAAATATATTTTGTGAAGAAGATGCTCAGTTTTAAGGCACATAAGGGATTCCAGTTCAGTTCAGTTGCTCAGTTGTGTCTGACTCTTTGCGACCCCATGGATTGCAGCACGCCAGGCTTCCCTGTACACCACCAACTCCCTGAGCCTGCTCAAACTCATGTCCATTGAATCAGTGATGCCATCCAACCATCTCATCCTCTGTTGTCCCCTTCTCTTCCCGCCTTCAATCTTTCCCAGTGTCAGGGTCTTTTCCAATGAGTCAGTTTTTCACATTAGATGGCCAAAGTATTGGAGTTTCAGCTTCAGCATCAGTCCTTCCAATGAATATTCAGGACTGATTTCCTTTAGGATGGACTGGTTGGATCTTCTTGCAGTCCAAGGGACTCTCAAGAGTCTTCTCCAGTCAAAAAGCATTAATTCCTCAGTGCTCAGCTTTCTTTATAGTCCAACTTTCACATCCATACATGACTACTGGAAAAACCATAGCTTTGAATAGACAGACCTTTGTCAGCAAAGAAATGTCTCCACTTTTTAATATGCTGTCTAGGTTGGTCATAGCCTTTCTTCCTTTCTTCCAATCTTTTAATTTCGTGGCTGCAGTCACCACCTGCAGTGATTTTGGAGCCCAAGAAAATAAAGTCTCTCACTGTTTCCATTGTTTCCCCATCTATTTCTCATGAAGTAATGGGACCAGATGCCATGATCTTNTTCTTTGGGATTGGAATGAAAACTGACCTTTTCCAGTCCTGTAGCCACTGCTAAGTTTTCCAAATTTGCTGGCATATTGAGTGCAGCACTTTCACAGCATCAGCTTTTAGGATTTAAATAGGGATTTGGTCTAATGGAATTATGAAGTGTAGATAAATTATCAGTCATGAGATCTAAGTCAAAGAAGCCAAACACAGTGTGATTCCACAGATATGAAATGTCTAGAAGAGGAAATTCACAGGGACAGATAATGGACTGGTGGTTTCCAGAGCTGGAGGGGACAGAAGGGGAGGGGAGGATGAGGTTTCTTTGTAACACGATAAGAAAAAAGAATATTCTGGACTCAGATAGGGCTGATCTTTGTCCAGCTCTGGAAATGTACTCAAAACACTGCATGACACATTTCAAAATGGTACATTTTGTGGTATGTGAACTATATTTCAAATATTTAAAGTTATTTTTAAATTCATGAGCTCAGATGGGTAAATCTGGGTCCTTGATAAAGAGTCCCTGAAGACTAAGTGAAGAGAACAGTTGAAATAAGAAATGAAAAGAAAGACAGAATAAGTTAGATAGGGCCCCTGTCCCCAGGGTGGGCTTTGATTTCGTTTGCTGTTGTCGTTTTGTGGGGTTTTTAAGCTCTTTGAACAGAGATCACTCTTATTCCCTCTGCAAAATTAAGGATACTTTTTATACAAAAATAGTGCTTAAAGAAGCCATTTTGTTAACTGACCATTGGTTAAGTGATTCTGGGCAGCAACTACAGAGGCCGCCGAGCCGCCCAGCCTGTCCCGTCCTTCATGGTCACTACAGCCTCAGGTGAGGCACCAGGACCTCCTCATGTGACCCTGAAACACAGCAAAGGCAAGTCCAGCTGGGTCTTGTTAGTGCTCAGTCGTGTCCGACTCTGCCCCCGTGGACTGAAGTCCACCAGGCTCCCCTGTCCATGGGATTTCCCAGGCAACAATGCTGGAGTGGGCTGCCATTTCCTCCTCCACAGTTGGGTCTTAGGCCGAAGTCTGTCTAAATTCCTAGAATTCTTATGTTTACAAAAAGTTATTGTGCTTATGTTTTCAGGTTAGTGCTCTGAATTTTAATTCCTGATGAAGAGAAAAAGTCTTAAAATTCACAAAACTCACCTATTCAGTTATTTTTCTATTTGTACTATGATCATTTCAGTGGGACTTAGAAGGACTAGTTGGAAAGCTGACTAAAATAAATGCAGGTTTTACAGAGAAGGTGCTTAGATAACGCATATGAACCACAATTATGAAAATGGAATGATGATGTTATAGAAAAAATTGATTTTCACCTGAGATAAATAAATCATGAGGGTTTGTAATATCATAATGGGCTATCTTCTTAGGCACACACAAGAGGCTTCACATACATCCAGATGTTATAGACAGCCGTGTCGTGCCTCCTGTTTTACGGGTGGAAATTGAACAGGACAAGGGAGATTCAAAGGCTCTTACGGCAGAGCTTTCCTGTCTATTGTCTTCATTCACAGAATGTGGAAACAATGAGCAAATGGAAAACACAAAGTCCCTGGAAAAGTGTGTACCCCCTAGGCATCACTCAGGAAATACTGTGTGTACATATTAATATATTACTAACTCCTAGAAGTCTCACCTCTGAAACCAGAACTGGAAAATACAAAGACGCATTCCACGGCTAGAAATCACAGCCTTCACACTGGACGTACCTGCGGCGAGGTAGGCGCCTCCCCCGGCTTTGTAGAGAAGGTGGCTGGCGAAGGGAGCTGCGCAGATGATCAGAAAGCTTGCAGTCACCACGGCGACCACCCCCAGCAGCATCAGGACCACCCAGAAGCCACGGTAAACTGCAGGTCCCAGGAGAAAAGGAAAAGAGTAAGGCACACTTAGACTGTGAACACGGCAGGCTGGCTCACAGAGACTTTCTCTCTTCTCCATGCTTCTAATTTCAGCCCCAGCACGCTGGGCAGCCTCCCAGGCTGTGGTCCTGAGTTATCTTTGAAACGAAGCCTCACCAGATGACTTTGGATTCAATGATGCCGAACTTCTACCAACACAAGCTTGGTATTTACACCAAGCACAAGCTTAACATATTCCGGGAGCTCTTTTTCTGACCAGCTTATCCATTTAGAAATGGGAGCACTCAGAATTCTAGAAAGACTCCTCTTGAGCAAGTTCCCAGATGGGTCACACACAGGAGTTTATACCAAATGGACAAAGACATAAAAAGGCATTCACATCCACAAAACTGCCTCTTACTTCCTGCCAAGAAGATGTTTCTACCACAGTGATCCCTGAGAAGCTGCTAACAGTCCCTCCAGTTTCCTAACAAAAAAGTGGGCTTCTATTTAGGTTGTGACTCTATTGGAAAATAGTCTTAAGGTAATAAAAATGACAAGCAAAGCCAAACAAGAAAAGGTTTGTATAGACTGAGATTTAAAATAAGATATTTTTAAGACTTACTACTTTCTATGAATACTTGTTCTTAGATTTAAAATGAAAAGTTATAGTGGTCTCTTAGTCAAGGCTCAGTAAGTCTGAATTAATGGATGCAGCTGGTGATAAATAAATAGTGGATTTGGTGACATATAGTAATCGAATAAAAAGGAATTCTAATGGATCATTTTTGAGTAGGATAATTACTGATCCACTAAACAAATTGATCATTGTTCCAAACGCTAAAACACAAAGACAAATTCCTACATGTGTAAATGATGAAAATCATAGCACAACATACTGGGGAAATTACACTTTTTTATGAAAATACAGAAACTTCATAAGAAAGTAAAGAATGATTTTTCTCGACAAGCCCACCTGGCAAAAAAAATATATAGATATAGATATAGATATAGATATAGATATAGATATAGATATAGATAAATCAACCGGAATCTTTAAGAGGAAAGAGGATGGGAAGGTGGAATATTGAGGAGAGGAGCCACTGCAGTTAAACAGGAAAAGGAAGTTTGCATTTTGGTGTGAGTAACTGGGTTTTGAAGGCAAGAACACAAGGGCAGACTTTCACCTCACATGCCGATGTGCCTCGTGGGGCACGGCTGCTGGGCTGACTGTGTGTGGAGGGATTCTGTGGTTGTATTCCAGCTCCTCGGGGCACAGGGCAGGAATGTACTGATCGACTTGACTGTGGGAAGTAAGAGGGAAGGCTTTGAGACAAACCTTTGCCTTCCCTGTCCGACCAGAGTTACTAGATAACAGAGGAGCCTCACTGTTTACACTTTCATGCACCTCATTTACTGCACTATCATGAGGTGGTTCTGTGGCAAGCGGGGTGTAAATGTCAATAAGAGGTGGTCCAGGGAAAGTGGAGCATGACAAATTATAAAGCATAGTACCGTAGAGAAACACAGCTTTTGGAATCAGAGTGCCCTGAGTATTCACCACTTACAGTTACTTAAACTTAGGTGTTTGTCACCTCACATCCTGTCCAGTGAGCTCAGGAAGTTAGTGACCCATAGGACATGTTCTGTACAACAAAAAAACAATAATTTGTGGACCTAGCTTGACCATGCAGAGACACGAATACTTGCCTGCTCAACGTGGAGGAGGAACTGATGATGGAAGCATGACATCTATTCAAGAAAAGCAAAAAAGCTCTTCTCCCCCTCCCCACTTCTTTGATTATGAAACTGTAGCCCAGTAAGTTCCAGGGTACTGCATTTCTCACTTGTCTGCTTATAAACCTCACAACTAACCTATTCTAAGAAATCACTTCTTATCTGTCACTTTGCCTCTTGCTGAATTCTTTTCTGCTCTGAGACTGAGAGCTCTGGGTACCAGAGCTCTTTGGAGCCCCTAAAGTGACTCCTAACGATACCAGGGGGACTTCGATAGAGAGAAGGACCCGGGGTGGTGACCGCTGACCCTGAGGCCTGCTGCTTCCGGCCCTGGTTTACTCTAGCACAACCGCCCGACTTTGGAGTCTCAGGCCCTGGGAAAATGCAGGAGCAACAGACTGGTACTCGATGGAGGGGGGTCCCGGCTGCCTGGAGAGTTGTGACCATACGGACACAGCTTTCACGTGAACCTCCTTACGGCAATCACCACAGCCTTTATTTCTGCCCACGCTTCAGTGTTCCAAAGTGCGCAACTCTCAGCCTGTTTCAGAATTTCTTGGAACTTCCTGTTTCTTAGCTAATTATATTACCTAGTTTGCATATGTGGCACACTTCAATTCCAGAGTGGAAATGTTCGGTTGTAATGAAGAATCGTCTCGGAATTGGGTAGTTCCTCCACTGTCTGAAGTAAAACTGAGGCAATCTGAGAATTTTCAACATGAAGTGAATTACGTTGCATGTGTTTTGAGATATTGCTAACTGTGTAACTCTGATAGAACACAGTTTTCTAAACCAGAGAGCACTGTCCTTCAAATAAGTTTATAGGAAGAGTTGAAAACATACATGACAAGTAGTTACATGCAGTAAAGAATCAAAAATATTTGTTACTACTATTATTTTGACATGCTTTGTAATAAAATGCTCTTGTCAACAATGTAGTTAATACTTAAAAGATATCTATTAATCTCATGGATCTAGGATAGGGCAAGCTTTTAGTTCTAGTACATAGACACTAAAAAGTTTAAAGAATGTTCTTGTTTGGTTAGTGATTTATATACTGTTTAAGACTTCTAGATATTGAATGTATCTCTGAGAATATTCAATCTGTTTGCTTGTTCTTAATATGAGCCCATAAAAACTGCAAGTTCTGTCTCTGAAAGCTTTGAACTGTGCCAAGAGAAAACATCTCTAAAAATCCATTTCTACCCCATTAAACACAATTCAAAGTTCAACTTAAATGATATTGAATTTCTATTAATTTCTTAGAACATGAAGCAAGATATACAATATGCATAGATTTACATGTAATCTACATCATCACAATTTGGATTAATTAAAAGAAAGCTTCATCTGAATCAATCTGTTGAAAGGCCAGAATTAACTACTGTTTTCAAAGAAATGAAGTTCTGTTAATTCTAAATAAATAGGTGAACTAACCTAACAAAGTGGTCCTTGGTTGGGTGTTGTAATGAGGAAGAGGATGAATAATTAACAGAAGTTGTTGTTAAATAACTAACAACAGATGTTATAGAAATGGTTCTCCTGAAGTACTCAGTATATTTTCCTAAATCGATCAAACTTTCAACCTGACAGTATTACTTTCATGGGCTTCCCTGGTGGTTCAGATGTAAAGAATCCACCTGCGAGTGCAGAAGACCCAGGTTCAATCCCTGGGTCGGGAAGATCCCCTGGAGAAGGGAATGGCAACCCACTCCAGCATTCTTGCCTGGAAATCCCTCCCGTGGACAGAGGAGCCTGGCGGGCTACGGTTCATCGGGCCGCAAAGAGTCGGACACGGCTGAGCAGCTTAACACACACACATCGTTCCTGTAGATGGACAGAGAATGAACTGGCAGGGGAAAGCACAGACCAAGGAAAACAAGTGAAGCAGTCATTACAGCCTCCAGGCGGGGGCTGGGCTGGGTGCGGAGAGGAGAGGGGGCAGAGATAACATGAGCTTTAGTGATTTTGTTGTTAGGAGTGGTGAGAAATCAGCAGGAAAAAGGCTCTGTTCATGGCTCTCATCTGTACGCCCAAACAGGCTGTTCCGTTAAGGTACCAAGACACCTCGACTGGATTTTGTAATATTTTAATTTACACAACAAACCCTCTTTCATACAGAGCGCAAAGAGGGAAAAGTCAATCCAGATGATCACGATTCCAAATCTATAGTGTTTTGATTAATTATTCTGTTGTGTCTATAAAAATGTAAATATTGTCTTTGCAGTTTCAAGATAAACTTCAGTGGTGTTCATTTTTCAAAGCTTGCGATCTTGCCTCAGACACCCCACGAAGCTAGTTCAGAGAGCCAGTCCTGTGTTTCGACACATCCTGGAGCACAGACAGTGTGAAGTGCTATAAACCGTTCCAAAATGAAGCCAAAACAAAGCCCCGCCACCCCCTCCCCTATCCTCGTCGGCAAACGAGGGCCTGCGGCATATGCTGCTGTAGCTTCGGGCAAGCCGCTTCTGCTGCTCAGGCCAGCAAGCCGGCCCTGCATCTCCACACACCACTTGCCTTGGCGACGGCGGGCGGGTCTAAAAATACAGTGATGCCGGCACCGGAGCGGAAAGACAGGCTGCCCGGCGCGGTCGTCTGAGCTCCACCGCGGAGGCCGTGCCAAGTCATGTGCTCTGCCCAGGCCGTGGGTTTTCAGGACAAAGAGAACACTAAGAGGCCCGACAGAGTTTATTTACTTCCCTCTTGTAAACCTGGCTGCGAAGGAATGGCTGAGAGGCAGAAGGTGCCTCCGGGAGCCGGGCCCCTGCGCCCCCGCCGCCGGCGGCGGTGACCTTGGGAAAGGCCCCGACGCCACCGGAGGAGCGTGGCTTCTCCCACCGGGGAGAGCTGGGGCACACTCAGGGCGTTAGTCATTGTCTGGGCTGCCCTTCTGGCATCCTCAAGGTCGTGGTAGGGAGAAAGCCAAGGGTCTCAGAAGCGAGGTGAAGGACCTCAGAACAGGCCACCCCCACACATGCCAGTTTGGTACCAGGGTCACTGTGAGCTGGGGTCAAATGGGAATCAACACACACTTGCAGGAGTTTTCCTTGTCTGACGGGAGGAAGGAGAAACTTCGGAGAAATGAGGACCTCCAGAGGAGGAGTTTTATGGCCGCGAGAAAGACAGCAAGTCAGCATAGCGATGGGCCTTCAGATAAACCTACCAAAACAACCCATCTCTTCCCTTATTTCTCCTGGTCACTTTCCCCCAATTTACAACCCAGGCTCAAATTTCTTTTTCCTTTGTCTTGTCGCATCTCCGTGTTCATCACT